ATACTACACGCTGACTCCTTTCAGAACGGACTATTCTGAAGAAGTGTTTCTATAGAGCACTGTTAGGTCAGCTCAGAATTTGCAAAATACTTTTTTTGTTAAAAAAAAAAAAAAAAACTGACATGCTTTTGGGTTATATTCTCTGAGAAACGTTTTACCCCCATTGTTTCACATGGCCTAGAAGCTCTAACATTTATTAAAGTGGAATCTGACTCTTGGCCCCATACATGTTATAGGCATCAACCCACCATATTACCAAAGGCTCTACCAGGTGAATTTGTTAAGTACAGTGAAATCTGGAAAAAATTAGTTTTAGGGCACAAACTGAATGATATGGATTGTTGGTTCCGGCCAAACTTTGTGACCATTTGGATTTAGGTGGCACATTAGAGCAGTTAAGAGTGCAGCCTTAGGCAGATTGCACGTCTGGTTACCTCCTTTGCCATGAGACTGGAAGAAGTAGCTAATATTACTGATCATTTTGATAAAGATGCTACAGAAGAATCCTGATAAATAGGGGTAAGAATGTGGCGCAGAATTTTAAACTCTCAATGGAATGTATACTTTCTGGAGCCATGGAGGCTGGACAAACCCCTGAAATTACTATCCTTAGATAATCTTTAAATTTTAAACCTTATATTAAAACTATTCTCTGAAGTCTTCTTTGAATGAAACAATGCTCTAGCTTAACTGTAAAGAATATCTGCATTGGGCTCATTTAAATAATTACCTATGTGAGATCAGACAAGAGCAACTTGAAAGGTTAGATGAGAAGCTTAGCAGACGTCTTGAGAGTTTGAGTCAGTGATGGTGGAACAATTATGGAGGATGCCCAGAACATTTGCTCAACTTGAAAAATGTGATCACTGTCAATGACATATACATGCATAAATTATTGAATTGGTGTATGACTGTATATTTTCACTAAAATGAAACGTATAAGCTTTGGAATCAGTCTGTTTAAATTCAGGATCCAGATACATCCTAAGATAAATTACTGACCTTCTTAGTCTCAAAACCATCAGTTTCTTCATCTATAAAATGAAAGTAACAATAATTTCATGGAAGCTTAAGTAGGACAACACATGTAACAAGAGCTTACAACAGCATAGCTCTTGGTACACAGGTGATATTTATGTAGCATTTAGGATGATGAATTGATAATGATTATGAAATGACAAAAAATAGTATATATTTATCAAGATAAACTGCCTTGCTGCCAAACCTTGCTTTTTCCATTCCATAAAGGGATAGGGATAACCAATGTGAAATATACCTTGGAAAAAGTAAATGAGAGTTCACATTTTATAACTCAAAATAGTGAGTGTTACGATGGGAAGAGTTCCAGACTTTAAGCCAAGAATGTCACATTTTACTACTCAATTTGCCACTTACTGAGAAACCTTGGGCAAGTCACTTGACCCTCTTTCAGCCTCAAAATGTCCAACAATAAATTGAAAACCTCCGAGAGGATGTTTGGCAAAACAAAAACTATATAAACGTGAGGGGTTTTAAGCTCACACAATCACCACTGTATAGCTATGCTCATATTTTTAGAAAAGCCACTGAGGAAAAAACTCTCCCCTTCAGAGGCAGATGGCAGAGCAGTGACAAGTGAGAGGGGCTCTAGGATGAGACAGCTCAGGTTTGAATCTAGTCCCTGACACTGACTAGCTGTATGTCCTGGAGAGAGCCTCAGTTCATCACCTGTAAAGTGGAGATAATAATGAAACTTAAACCTCCAAGGATTTGTGAGGATAAAACACAATGATGCAAGTAAAGCACACAGCAAACGCTCCACAAATATTAGTACTGCTGTTATCAGTGTGGACTACCCATACAGGTGTTTTATCAGGTTATCGTTTTATTCTCATTTCATTTTAACTGATGAGAAAAGAGCTTTAATTTTTTTTTTTAACTAGAAACAAGAGCTGTGTAATGTAGTATAAGGTGGTCTTTAGACTCCCTTTCTTTAAATATTCTTGTTTACAGCTGAAACAATAAAGGATGATAACTCATAAATCATTTTCTGTTAGTAAATATGAGGTTACTTTTGCATATGCACCAAAGTTTTCATGACGTACTGTAATTAGTTCCAAAGAGTCTTCTGAAGTATTCCATCTGCTGCAATTTCTCCATGGGATGCACAATAATACGCAGGAAAGCTGAAGCTCATATTCTTTATTCCCTTTTCCGAGCCAAACTTGCATCTTGTTTCGCTTCCAGAGCACATTATCCAGGATGCTACACTGATTTTTTTAAAAACTGCATTCAAAGCTGCTCCTAAATCATACTCCTTTCATCATCTGTATACTGGACGTTTGCTCTGATGGTCTAGGAACTGCTCTAAGAATTATCACACACCAGTGGCTTCAACGCTGGTTACAAATTAAACTCACCTGAGGAGCTTTTAAAACATACTGATGCTTGGCCCAGAATCTCTAAGGATAGGGCTCAGGTATCCTTTGTGTTTTTTGAAATTCCCCAGGTAATTCTAATATGTAACTAGGGTGAAGAAAACTGTTTTGATGGTAAGGGACCTAAAGTGAAGACGATGCATTCAAAATGCTTAACAAACAAAAAAATCTTACTGTCAATTTAGTAGATGAAAAATTCTTCCATAGAGTGAAAAAGGGGAATAATTTATCATTTCTTTTGTGCATATAAACCCACCCACCTAGTTATTGGTTCATTTTAAAGATAATGGCTTTTTCTCTTCGACAAAGGTAAATCAATGGTACTGAACACTACCAAAGGTCACAGAGTGTCAAAGACCCTTAATGATCTTGAATTAATCTTCACAAGCAGCTGTATACTGGTGATGAAAATGATTGCCCCCAAAGAACAAATTATGTCATTCTGTGTTATTATTTGAGTACAAATGTCTGTGGATTATTTATTTTATTTTACTCACAGTGAGAAGGCCAACTGAGGCACAAAGGACTATGTTTGAATGATGAGAGTGTCCTGTATCTTGCACAAAGTAGAAAAAAAATTCCACCTTTTGATAGTCACTTTAGTCAGAACAGACAACCCACAATCACAGTTTAAAAACCTGTCTTTATACCCGACTAAACTTGGAATTTTATCAAGCCACACCAAAAAAAAACCCAAACTCACTGCCACTGAGTCAGAAGCGCCCCCTCAAGGTGGTATCACTACGGAAGTAGACTGCCCAACCTTCCTTCTGAGGAATGGCTGGTGGGTTTAAACTGTCAGCCTTCTGGTTAGTAGTCGAATGCCTTAGGCACTATGCCACCAGAGCTCCTTATCAAGCCACAGTTGTTTCTTAAGTATGCATAGCAAATAAACTGGATGTGTCTTAACATGTAACAAGAATGAAATGTTACAAAGGATATTCACAGCTGTCTTTTTTATTAAAATATGCTATTCCACTAGCAGAAAAGCCCTGGTGGCACAGTGGTTGAAGTGCCTGGCCACTAACCAAAGGGTTGATGATTCCAACCCACTAGCAGGAGAAAGATGTGGCAGTCTCCTTCAGTGAAGATTTCAGCCTTGGAAACCCTGTGGGGCACTTCTACTCATCCTTTAGGGTCGCTGTGAGTCAGCATAGACTCAGTGGCAATGGGTTTGGTTTAGGTTGGTATTCTATGTAATTATCATTTTTCTAAAATTATGCCCCTCCCTTGCCATACATTTATTTCCCACCTTTTACATGTATCAGGTCCATCTATTTACCCTGAACATTTCTATTTCCAATAGATCCCAAATAATTTGAACTAGACGACTACATTTTGTCTTATTGTCACCCAAACCAACAAACAGGAGGAAAGGCAAAGGAGGTCTTAATTCTGAGGTTTATGTTTACTTTGTCTTTGCTTAATTCCTCCCCCACTACCAATGCTCTCAGGGGCATTCAGATGAAAATGGAACTTGTTTATTCTGTGATAAAATATTACAAGGGGATGCTCAGGTGGTTTTTTTTTTTTTTTTTTTTTTTTTAAATAAAAATCAGCTGCTGCTCCAGAGCAATCTTGTCCCTTGAGGGATGCTGCAAAATCCTGCAGGTTTAGTAGTCAAACGCGCCTTCTTTGGAACCAAATTTGTTAAATATTAAAAGACACTTCATCTTATAAACACCCCTAGCTTACCATACATACTTCATTCTTGCAAAAGACCTCTTTCTCCTTCTCATCTCTGACTGAGGAAGGTGAAGGAGAGAATCTTAATGTAACAAAGGAAGAGATGGATGTGTGAAGTATGAGGCTGAATAAAAATGGCTGAAAAGCAATCCAAGCGAGGCTGGAGGGCGGCCACACCCAGTGTGAATATGGACTGTGGCAAAATAAATCTGTTATACCAGAGGGTAACCCACAGCTTTTTATTTCCCTCCATTTGTTCCACAAATACCCATTATTAATAAACAGTGGTTACAGGTTACCTCAATGCCAGACAAAAGCCCTGAAATATTACAAAGTGATCCATCCTAATATGTGGCTACGCCATCATATTTTCAGCATTTCCAGAGCTAGTCTGCATTTCCAGTCTCCTTTGTGTGACCACAAATAACAACCCTGAAATGGGTGTGTCTTTCTTAAAAGGATGCACTAGGCCCCTCTCAGTGAATGGTTCTACCAGGATATTTCAACCTTTTGGCAAAAATAAATGCACAGGGATGCACAGCACAATAAGAGAGCATTCAAACTGTGAAGAGGAGAGGAGATTAAACAAGTACTGAATGATCAACGGATCCCCAAGAGCTTCGGGACGGAAGCAAATGATGCATTATTTAAAATACTAGCAGTACAATAAGAAAACAAAGGGATGAGGGTAGGGATTTAAAAAACGAAATAAAAAAAAATAGAAATCAAACACCATCAATTTTGATTTTGCAGTAACAGGTTTACTCCCCCCCCAACGGAAAGATCTTGGGTATAAAGCATGCAAAGGTCCCACAGGTGAAATGATGCACAATGGACGAGTCCGGGTCCCGGTTTCCCGTGCGCCGCAGGCATGCAGTACTGAAATAAAGAGAATACCCTGACTTTTCCAGTTGCTCCACACACAGTCCATCTTGGTGGAATCAGCAGTGGCCTGCATCTTGCAGGCTTCGGGAGCTCGCCGTTGCCTTCCTCGGGGACGCTGAGCTTGCACTCAGGCGTTCCTGCCCGGGCTGCAGCGGCTGGGCTCGCGGTCGCCGCGCGGCTGCAGACACACTGAGGCTGCACCAGCCTGCGCGTGCGAGGGGCGGGCGCGTCGCCGGCGCCGCAATCACCGCGGCAGCGAATCAGCGCAGCGCAGCGCGGCTCCGGAGCGGCCTGGGCGCACAGGGGTGCGGGTGCGGCTCTACTGGAGAGCGTAGGCTCGGTGGTCGTGGGGGTGCTGCTCTGGAGATGGCCCTGACCAGAAAGATTCAAATGCATACTAGGTGGGGGTGGGAGGGTTGGGAGAAGAAGATTGTGGTAAGAGAAAGGGTGAGAATGAGTCGGGGTGGGGGGGCTTGGGCTGTTCCTGCCTGAAAGGGTACATATTCCCGAAATTTCTTAGAAACTCAAGAAACCTGTTGGACAAGACATAGTCAACCGCAGTACAAATGCCAGGCTTTCAGCATAATGCCCCCTAATTGTCTGCAGCGCTTATTCATCTGGCCCTTCCTCACTTCTTAAAATTCTGGGCACGCTAATTTTAGTTGCCTGGATCTTCCACAGAATTCCCAGATAACCCCACCGTCCACACCCACCCACCCGCCTACGAAATACTCCCCGGCTATCCAAAACCTTTGTTGGCAAGCAACCAGTACAGGAGAGGAAACCTACTGCTCAGGCCCAGAGAGCGCGCGAATTTGCCCCTCTTCTTCCACTCTTTGCCAGTTAAATACATACATATCAGAATGTGGTGCCTATGGACCCCAGATCAAAGTCCTTTGACTCTGCCACACCGAATCGTTGGTCACTGCAGAGACATCCCAAGGGTGGTCACTTATGGAGACACAGAACCAAACTCAACAAAACAGAGGGCATTCTGCCTCAACTATATCAACTTTGGGATTGGGGGTTGGGAGGTGGGCAGTGTGCATAATATGGGAGATAATACTGGTTTTCAAGTCCAGTTAGTCAAGGGCTCAAGCAGTTTCCAGTTAAACTGCAAATGCCATCCAAAGGAAAAGAACAATGGGTGGTGACCTGCTATTCAAATCTTACCATGAAATACTTGATCAGATTATACAGCAAGACTTTGAGAGAATGGACAAGGGGGTATGTGTCTCTCGGAGAGGAAAAGGTAGAAATAATGAAGAGAAAGGCCTGGAATGGGGGCATTGTCTGGAGAAGAAAGTCTTTGTGGAGGGGATGCTTTGGTGGGGATGTGGAGGGGAAGGGTGGTGGGGGAGGGGGTTTCCACAAATAGAAGGAAGAGTTACTAGACACCAAGGAAAAACTTCCGATTGCACTTTGTTGTGGCCTTATCCATTACTCAGGATTTCTCTTTCCCGGAGAAGTGGAAACTTCTCCACAATTCCTCCATAGTTCCCAGAGGTTTCTCTGCCAGCCCCAATCTATATTGCACATCCTACACCAGCAAGGACTTGAGGACAGTAATCTCAAGATTATGATGGTAGACATGATTTATTTTTTTATTTTATAAAGCATATACACTTTTAAAGTATGATCTTTGGCATAATGTGTCTTCTTTTCAGGATACAAGATTCTAGAGCAACTGGTTTGGCTGAGCCTCTCTGCATATCTTTGCAACACATTTGAATTCATTTTTGAGGAAGCTTATTAAATATGACTTCAGAAGGATGATTTGGCAATTCTGGGTGATCAAGGTCTCCTATAAGAGGAAGGTGTCCTCCTATAAGAGCTCCCGCAGGGCTGATGGGAAAAATAGTGACCACATTATTACAAAGCACTTTTCTAGAGACACCGGTGACTTTTCTATATTTGCATTCCTTTTTTCACTGTCATGGTCATGTTTGGGAATTCAGTCAGTACAGTACCGAAAAGACTGGTACAAGATGATAATCTTAGCAGCCCCGAGTTCTCACTGCATGACGTGGGGCTGGACTGACAGCAAACAACTAGACAGGACTCATAAGAAGGAGAGTACAGGGGTTGTGAGGTGGGCTGTAGCTGTCCTGTAGTGGACTGTACTGTCTGGGCCACTAGGAGGCACTGAGAGTCCAATGATAACCCAAGTCATCAGCTCAAAGTCCGAAGGCAACAGCAAGTAATTTTAGTAGTGAGTATTCAATGACCACCATGTTACCAGAGCCAGTGTGAGTAGCAAGCTGAGAACACATCCCTAACAATGAAAAACAGGCAGAAGCAAGTTCTCCTTCAAGTGGAAGGTAGATTGTGTCCGATTTCTTGGACCAAGTGTTTTCTTTGATCACAAAATGGACTTTGTTGTTGTTGTTTTATGTGCCGTGGAGTCGGACCCGCCTCATAGCGACCCCTCCTTGGTTTTCTGAGGTGGTGTCACCCGGAAGTAAATTGCCCAACCTTCCTTCCAAGGAGTGGCTGGTGGGTTTGAACCACCAGCCTTCTGGTTAGCAGTCAAATGTCTTAGGCACTACATCAATTTAGTTTAAACATCACATTCTTCCATCATGCTATGTCTGGAGAGAGAAGTTTGATGGCATCTGAAAAACCAATATTATTTATGGCATCTGGTAGTTGTAAGTTGAAAGGATAAGCCATCCCATGCCATAGACATAAATTCACACTTACAAAATAGGAAATGGGGGCTTTAGATTCATGTGTAGGTGGTAAGAACAACAAAAATAAACTTATTAAAAGAAGATGACTCAAAAGAGTATGAAGAACACTCTATTGGAAATCTGAGGATGTGGGTGTTAGACCTATTGGTGCAGTGGTTAAGGAATTCAGCTGCTGACTAAAAGGTTAGTGGTTCAAAGCCACCAGCTGCTTCCAGGAGAAAGATGAGGCAGTGTGCTTCAGTAAGGATTTACAGCCTTGGAACCATGATAGGACAGTTTTTACTCTGTCCTATAGGGTCAATATGAGTTGGAATTGACTCAATGGCTGTGGGTTCCGTTTGGGTTATGCTACAAAAATTATGTGGCCTTCAGCAAGCCATTTATCAGCTCTGGACCTCTTTCTCATAACATACAAAGGAGTTACAGCTTTAGATGTTTGTTTCTGTAGAATAGTAAGAATTTAATGTTTCATTCTGTTGTACACAGGATCTCTACGATTTGGAACTGACTCGAGGGCACCAAACAACAGCAAACATTGTACACAAGTGCTTTCTTTGCACAAGTGGCCATATAGTATTAATTGAAAGTTCTTGCCAAGATCAAACTGATAAAATGGGTGGAATAGATATGTAAATTGTCCATAGTGAAAGAAAGCCAAAAGCAGGGTAAACCTTGCTAAAAATGGCAGGGACTGCCACCCTCTTTAAACCAGGAGAAAATAAAAGGGCTTTATATGTAAACTTGGTGTAGGTGCCCGCAAGGAGAAGTGACTTCTTTAGTTTTCAGAATGAAATAATGCATTAGACAGGCTGTTCTAATGAAAAGCAAGTAGTTAAGTTGTGTAATGTCACCCCAGATCAAGATGAATGTTGAAGGCTATGATGTAGGGTGGTTGCATATGTGGCACCATGTATGTCTGTCTCCTGTAACACCAAGATTTTACTAATAAGAACCAGCTGAGCCTGCACTGATACATTTAATCAATAGATCTTTATTAAGCACCTGGACACCCTTCCAGACATAAAACAAAGTTTCTATCTTCAAGAAGTTTATATGTGTCTTAGTCATCTAGTGCTACTAAAACAGAAATACCACAAAAAAACAAACTCACTGCCATTGAGTTGGACCCGACTCATAGCGACCCCTCTTTGGGTTTCCAAGGCAGTATTACTACGGAAATAGATTGCCTAACCTTCCTTCTGAGGAGTGGCTGGTGGGTTTGAACCACCAGCTTTCTGGTTAGCAGTCAAATGCCTTTGGCACTACACCACCCAAGTGGGTGTCTTTAACAAGCATTTATTTTCTCACAGTTTACGAGGCTAGAAGTCTTAATTCAGGGTGCTGGTTCTAGGGGAAGGCTTCTCTCGCTGGGGGAAGGTCCTTGTTCTTTGACTCCCTGGTGATCTTCACGTGGTGTGCCATCTATCTCCTCCATCTTCGCTTGCTTCTCTCTATGCCTAATCTGCTCTTTTTATATCTCAGAGGTGACTGGCTTAAAATATACCTTATACTGATATGGACTCTTAACATAACAAACAAAGAATAAAACATTCTCAAAAGGGATTATAATCACAGATATAGGGGTTAATATTTACAACACATTTGGGGGACATAATTCAATATATAACAATATGCTAGTGTGTACGTGGAAGTCAATAATAAAAAGGTAAACATGACATTTCACATGTGGACAACTGTATGGGGAAAAATAGAGCAAGTAAAAAGAATATGAAGAATGGGGACGGGTGGAAGTTTGCTATTATATAGTCACAAAGGCCTAAAAAAGCAAAACTGAAGCAGATGCATAAAGGAAGAGGAGAAAGCTATTAAGATAATGGCAGAAGAGCATTCTGAGATGTACCTGATTTTTTAAAAAAAATTTACTGTGATTTGGGTGAAAGTTTACAGGGCAAATTTGTTTTCCATACAGTGGTTCATACACATTGTGTCTCACGACATTGACTGCAATTCCCCACAATGTAACAGCTCTCTTCCCACTTCTTCCCCATAGTTACCTCTTTCCTGTGGCCTTCATTCTCATGCGTTCCCATCTCACCCCCCAGCTGTGTCCCTGTGCAAACACTGCCCTTCTGTTCTCCCATGATCAAGATCGTATCTACCTGATGTAAATGTTCACCCCACATTCCTGTCTATTGTTTGGCTGGAAGCCACAGGAGTGAGTTCAATTCCAGACCCAAAGGGTAGCTAGGGGGCGTAGTCGCAGGGGTCTCACCAGGCTCTATCAAACCAGCAAACCTGGTCTTTTTTTAAAAAATGATTTTGACTTTTGTTCTGCATTGTTCTCCCACTCTGTCCAGCATCTCCTGCACCAATCCCCCTCTGGATGGGCGACAGTGGTAGTCGGACATCAGTACTTGAATTTTCAAGGCAGAATGTAATAGCTGGTAAACTATATTAAGCCCACATATAGAACTCCTTGGTTTTTATTTTCATGCTCTAAGCCCCTGGGTTGTGTAAGTGGTTAATGCACTTGGTTGCTAACTGAAAGTTTGGCGATTCAGTTCCACTCAGAGGCGCCTCAGAAGAAAGGCTTGGTGGTCTGCTTCTAAAAGATCACACCATTGGAAACTCTATGAAGCACAGTCTGCTCTGATACACATGGGGTCACCATGAGTTGGAACTGTCCAGATGGCAACTGCTAAAATGTATAACAACT